AAGAAGTACTTCCTTTTATCCGTTCTAACCCGACCGCTCAGTTTGGTGTAGTGGTTAAGTGCGCGGACTCTAATCTGGGAGTACCGGGTTTGATTCCCCACTCCTCCACTTGCACCTGGCTGGATGACCTTGGGCAAGCCGTAGTTCTGATAAGAGCTGTTCTTGAAAAAGAGCAGTTTCTGTCAGAGCTCTCTCAGTCTCACCTACCTCACAGGGTGTCTGTTGTGGGGAGGGGAAGGGAAAGGAGTTTGTAAGCCGCTCTGAGACACGTTTGGGTAGTGAAGGGTGGGGTATAAATCCAATCTCTTCTTAGCTTCCAGTGTAAACAGCATGTTGTGGCTGTGGTTTGTCTCACCTGGGCCAGGATTTTCCTATGCCTTCCAATTTTGACCCTAGAACTCCCACAACCATTCTGCAGCTGATGGCCAATTTGGAGTCTCCTAGCTTTACCCTCTGATGAATTACACCTCCCAGCTTGATATAGTACTTAAAATGCTGGACCAGGATCTGGTAAACCCAAGTTCAAATCCCTGTTCTGCCACAGAAGTTTGCTGGGTGACCTTTGGCCAGTCCCACACTCTCAGCCTAACCTACCTTGCAGAGTTTTTGTGAAGATAAAATGGAGAGAAGAATGATGTAAGCTGCTTTGGGCCCCCATTTAGGGTTGCCAGCCTCAAGGCACCTGGGGATCACCTGCTATTACAACTGATCTCCAGATGACCAAACATTATTTCCCCTGGAGAAAATGGCTGCTTTGGAGGGCAGACTCAATGGCATTATACCGTGCTGAGATTCCTGCTCTTCCCAAATCCCACCCTCCCCAGGCTCCACCCCCAAAATTTCCAGGTATTTCCCAAACCAGAGCTGGTAACCCTATCCCCACTGGGGAGAAAGGCATGATATAAATAAAGTAAATAAACAAACAAATGGACAGATAGGCCAATTTTTTATTATTACAGACACATGGTAACACCATGCAAAGTGATTCATTTTGTTATGCTATTTGGTTTGGATCAGGGCCATGAGGGGGCCCAGGTGGAATCTCTGTCCGCAGGCCCACGGTAGCTCTTAGCACCCCTGGTTTTCTCCAAGCATACTGTTTGACAGCACTCTTTGCCACAGTGCTAATGGCAAGAGTATACAGAAACTTTTCATTCCCTGAAAAGTTCTCTCCCCACTCACAATACATACCACAGTTCCAGACTCAATAGGCTTAGGAAGTGACACATAATTCTGTTTTAACAACTGGTCATGGATAAGTAAGTGAAGTGCTTTTAGGTGCATTACACTCTAAACAGTAATTTATTGATTTAAAATGGTTGTCCATCTGAATCTAAAAGGATGAAACGGGTTAAGAAACTTGATAAAGCCTCTTAATTCTTAGATCCAACTCCATTTTTTCCCAGTTAACTCAGTTATTCCTCCCAGTCCTTGAGCCCTACAGCTCAGTGATATGGTTAATCTGCGCACATGCTACCAAACCATAAACTTGAAATATACATTAACAATTACATCCGTGACAAGAGTGGTCTCTTCCTGGATTTGAAGATATTACCATTACCAGATTCCATACAGGCGAAGAGGCTCCAATGCCTTCAATAGTTGTACAGCAAAACAGAGACTCAGTAGATACATCTATTCCCATGATTGTCGTACTTCACTGCTAGTGATGCGACACCTGAGGGAAAAGCTCTCCTTCCTATGCAACAACCCTGTCATGTACTCAATCAAGTGACTCCACGTATTCATCAGCACGGACCATTGCTGAGCAAACAGCAGAGTAACAGACTCATTTAAAAAAAATTCTTCTCCATTTTACAACCAGACTTAGTGCAATCCACTCAACTCCCTCTTCACGGGGGAATGATTTCTACCTTTCACAATCTTTCCAGAAACAACGAAAAGACAAGTAGAAAGAAACTGGGCTTCTATTTCTAGACTAATTAAATCCCTAACCATACCCATCTCAAATGCTTTAAGTTTTCCAATGTGAATTCAAAGGAAGATATATTCCACAGCTGGCATAACAAACTGAGTTGGGAGAAAATTTTAGAACCATAAGGATTAAAAAACACTCCAAAACACCTGAGTCCACCTCAACCCCCATCACAAGGCACAGCCACTCCTTCGCCAGCCCCTGGCCTTTATGCTGTGTATCATGACAAACACGAGTGACTGCAAGTATACAAGTGACAGAAACAGAGGCCAAAGCGGTACTTCACATCCAAGAGGTGTCCAGCCAGCCTCCCATTTACACCATGCCTCACAAACCCAAACTCAAGCCTCTGCCCATGAGCCCCGTACACTCAGTTATGCCTTTAAGATTTAGAGACAACCAAGCCACCATTCCATTGTTACCATAGTGAATACAGGCCGATTTCTCCCACCCACTTTCATCACCTTCCAAGAAGGAAGTAGTGTATGTGTGGGGGGGCGATTCTTACCTGTTGGCCTCAATAAGTAACTTCTGCCACTTTATTCTCTATCGGGATAGGGAGGTGTAAGCCGGGTACCCAGGCAGGTGCACTGTGTGGAGATATATTTTTTAAAAAAACGCCCCTCCCCGCTCCACCACCATGCCTGGTCCCCTCCTCCTCTTCCTGTCCCCTTGTGCAAAGCAGCCACAGCACTCACAGCTCACTATTTGGCAGCATGTCTCCCTCCTCGAATCGCTTTCCCCCTTGCGCACCTGCAGAGGCTCATTATTCCGCAAGGCCCCTGCAGCAACATTATGCGCAGGCGCAACAGGAAAGGGGTGGGAGAGTGAGAAAGAAGGCAGGAAGCTGCAGGATGTGGCTGTTACTACTGCCTCTGCGCAGGCGCACACGGTGAGCAGACAAGAAAACTTTTTTGCATCGCATGCGTGCCCCGGACTTCACCTGTCCCTCCTTCCCTTACACATTACTTCCAATACAGGGCGCCTGCGCAGTCTCAAACAAGTAGAAGCAAGGCGCATGCGCTTTAGCTCGAAGCACTGAAACCGACCTTATGCACATGCGCACATCTGGCCCGAGGCTTCTTCCCTCTGCCCCGCCCCTTCCCCCTGCGTCAGGTCATCCGGCTTATTATTTTGCAACTTTTCGCCCGCTGGCGTTATGTGTGTCTCCCTTTACCCCTGCGAAGTGAACAACTACATCCATCAGCCCTTCCGCCTCACCTGATAAAGATATGCAGTGGCCGCGGCCATCCCCTTGTGGTCTCCTCATAGCGCCCTGACCTGACACATCCGGGACTCTCCGTGACGTTGAAATGACGCACCCTTCGCTCACAGTGGTGGAGGTACTGCGCATGCGTCGTAGCACAGAAGTCCGCCGCGATGGGCGGGAAAGGCGGGAAAAGACACCAAGTCGTCGATTTGGAATGGCGATGAGTGGAAAATAGGAGAGGCGCATGCGCCTCGCGTGATGCTGTGGGAGAGTGTTGCGTGATTTTTCTTAAGCTTTCAGACTTCCTCAGGCGCGTCGAAGTGGTTGTCTCCATGCATTGACTACTTATTCTTATTGAATGTTTATTCTTATAAACAGTTGAATAGACTAAGGAATGTGCATCAAAGATTTAGTTAGAAATTGCTCCAGGTGGTCAGCCGTGTTGGTCTGAAGCAGTAGAACAAATTTAGAGTCCAGCGGCACCTTTAGAACCAGCAAAGGTTTATTCAAGGTATGAGCTTTCGTGTGCATGCACACTTTGTCGAATACATTGGAAAGGAAGCTAGATTTCAAACTGACAGATACAGACTGAACAGCAAATTAACATGTTATATGATGCAGATGCTTTAAGATATTCAGAGTGAAACTAAATAACAAAGTTATAAGGTCAACAGTTGTTTTGGTTTAATTAAGAGGGGGAAAGGACAGCAAGGTAATAAACATGTCAAAATTCTTAATATCTGGAATTGAACAGAGGAGCACTGGAATTGTTTTATGGTGTTTATTTAATTGTGTATTAACTGTTTATTGTATTTTAACATTTTATATTGTTCACTTTGTATTACCTGGCATTATGCCCTGTTAGCCGCCCTGAGACTTCAGGGAGGGCAGGATAGAAATCCAAAAAAATAAATAAAATAGGGGATAAATGTGAGAAGGCATCTTTTCTAATTGTGGGAAGTAAACTGAGAGTCACAAATGGTGACTCTCAGTTTACTTCCCCTATTTTGACATGTTTATTACCTTGCTGTCCTTTCCCCCTCTTAATTAAATCAAAGCAACTGTTGACCTTATATCCTTAGTTGGTTATTCAGTTTCACTTTGAATATCTTAAAGCAGGAGTGTCAAACATGCGGCCTGGGGGCTGGATTAGGCCCCCAGAGGGCTTCTGTCAGGCCCGCAGTGGAACTGGCTGTCTTCTGCTGCTTCTTCCAATTCTGCTGCTGCTGCTGCTGCATCATCATAGGTTTGCAGCTGACACACACCTGAACAGTGTGAGAAACAATAAGAATAAGGATTTCTGGCAGAAAAGCTTAAGGGACATTTGCTTTATGTTAAATTGAAAATGTATTATTTGAAGATGAATGATTAAGCATGCTTGCTATGCCACAAGAATCTCTCCTTTATTATAAAGGAGTTTTGGGTGCCAGAATTCTAAAATGCGCCCCGTTAGTGTATGGGCGGAAAATATGCCACTCAGAAGAGCTGCCTCCAATGACTGGCTCCCTCAGCCAACCTGCCCTGCCATTGGCTGGGTGGCTGGGAGGGGAGGGAGCCAGTCATCGGAGCCAGCATCTTCTGAGCGGCCATCTTCCCGCCCATAGACTAAGGGCCGCTTTCGGCCCAACGGCGAACGGAGCTGATAGGC